TAACAATAATAATCATAATCCCCATCAACAAATACCTTTTCCACATAACCAGCCTCCAGCCTCCGTTACCGCTTAGTCTTCATACCTCAGCCATATATACACAGCCTCACACGAACCGCGGATCAGCCGAACTCTAGCAAAGGCAAACCGGGAGGAGCTAATGATGTTTATCCGATCAGCCGGTGTAAGGAGCATCTTGTAAGATCCTACGTATTACTCTTCGTGAATAATATTACGGTTACGCGAGACTGTTTGTGTTCTGGCTATTCATCAAACATGTGATAGGGATAAGGACGTGGGTATTGTATTATGAGATAGATTGGGTAGATGTACTTAGTTGATTATCGTCTCGTAAGGATAATTAGCGATGGAAATACGATGGAGATTGTGTTTTATAGTTGTTCTGTTTCAAAATTCGTCGGAGTGTTTCGTCTCATTGTGAGTGTGTGAGGATTCTTCCCTCCTTACCCCTTTAAGAGCTGTTGCATCGGTGTTCCCTCGTAAGGACTCTGACTCGCTATAATTTGTCCTTTGCTGTGAAATAAAATCCAATTTGCAGATGCTTGATGGGTTCGGGTTTGAGTCCGGAAGTCGAATTAGTCTTTTTTTTGTTCTTTTTTCCTAATGGCGTTTCATTGACGCAGTTTTCGTTTTTCTGCTGCTGAACAAATATCACATATTTTGTAAATAGACTCTGCTTTTATCTAGTCTAAATATCGTTACAGCCCACGTGATTAGTGCCTCTGGTCAGAATCCATTAAATACGACTAGATGAATAATAAACTTATGGATTTGGATCATAAAGTAGTGATATCATCTTGTTCCATCTATTTCTGCCAGTGTAAATCTAATTCAATCTCACACTCACCACTTTACACGCACTCTAAGAGAAAGTCACTAACCAATAAAGTGGCTGTGAGCACCTGAATGCAACGTAGGTGAGGAGGTAACACAACCATAAAATAGATTTATACGAATATTAAATGGATACTGGCAACTAACATTTCCTTTTTTTCTTTCTTTCTTTCTTTTTCTGATGTTGACTATTTCAGCCATTTGGGGTATTAGTGACACGTAGCCATTTAACACGTGAATAAATATTTTACCAAAGTTTTACGACACAAGCTAGTTTTTGTTCGTTTCTTTATTTCCTTGTCGTGATGAACTTTTTTTTTCTAAGTCGACAAAATTAAAGCTTTTTGCTCCTGAGATCGATGGAAATAAATCCGCTACGATTTAAGGAAAATGTATTCTAATTAATCTTCCATTTTCTCTTTCTCTCTCTCTCTCTCTTTCTGTTTCTGTCTTTCTTTCCTTCTCTTTCGCTCTCTCTCTCTCTCTCTCTCTCTCTCTCTCTCTCTCTCTCTCTCTCTCTCTCTCTCTCTCTCTCTCTCTCTCTCTCTCTCTCTCTCCTCTCTCTCTCTCTCCCTTCCTCTCTCTCTCCCTCCTCTCTCTCTCCCTCCCTCTCTCTCTCCCTCTCTCTCTCCCTCCCTCTTTCCCTCCCTCCCTCATTCCCTCCCTCTCTCTCTCCCTCCCTCTCTCTCTCCCTCCCTCTCTCTCTCCTTCCCTCCTTCCCTCCCTCCCTCTTTCCCTCCCTCCTTCCTTTCCTCCCCCCTCCCTCCTTCCTTCCCTCCCCCCTTCCTCCCTCCTTCCCTCCCTCCTTCCTTCCCTCCCTCCTTCCTTAACTCCCTCTCCTTTTCCTCCAAAGACAAGAAATACATCGTCTAATCCGAAGAGCGTCTTACAGTGAGGAAATTCTAGGAAAGAAAAGGGTTGTCAGATGGGCCTTTTTTGTATGCAACGACACCCGGGTCTTTGATGGTATTCTTCGGACGCCGAGACAAAGACAATACTTTGATGGATTTTTACTCTTCATTTTATCTCGTATCCTCGTTACGGACTTCTGCGCTGTCGAGTGCCATTTTCGTGATTTTTTTTTTTTTTTTTTTTTTTTTAGATTTTTTTGATAGGGTCGTTTTCTTTCGTTTGTCAATTTACCTGTCTGGTAGTCTTAATATCTCAATTTCTGTCTCTTTTTTCTCTCTCTTACTCTCTCTCTCTCTCTCTCTCTCTCTCTCTCTCTCTCTCTCTATATATATATATATATATATATATATATATATATATATATATATATATATATATCTTTCTCTCTCTGATTTGCTGTAGACCGAACTATCTGTTTATTTGTGCTCAAATGTCGAGCTTTCCCCCTTTCTTTCCTCCTTACTTTCTCTCTCCTTCTCTGTTACTACATTCATCACGTTTTCCCTTATGTAATTAGAGTAAACGCAATAATCTTGATTAGCATATCCGAATAACATACAAGGCAATTTGGAAAATAAAGTTAATTGCATAACAATTACAAAAAGAACGATGATAATGATAATAACAGTGATAATAATAACAAAAATGTTATTATTGTTATTATTAACAGTTGCAATAGTAACAACAATAACGATAAATAATGCTAATAATAGGAAAATTATAACAGTAATGATAATTAGATTTTTAATATTGTTGCTGAAAGACGCAATATTGCAAAATACTCGTAGAGGACTTATAGATATGAAAATAATCGACACACTGCAACAATGAACGTGGTGTAAGCCCGTCAACTAACTGCAGAAATGAGTCTTAAGCATATACCCATATCGTAAAATCTTGAATCCTCGATATGCACACACGCAGCTGCATCGATTTACTAGAAATGCCAGTCCTTCTCTCAGGGTACTTTCACGTTACCACGGGAGTCCAATAAACCAATTGACAGCGCCTAACTGGACTTCACTCATCCACTTCTCTCTATAAACTTCCACTTTACATGGGGTTCCCTGTATAGATGGATTTGTGAGATTTTTTCAGCCGTCAGTCGTTACTGTGTTAGAAAATTTTGACTCAGACTGTATTTGCCTGCCTGACCATATTACGCAACATGAATGCAAGGTCACTAGAGGTCAAAGACAAAGTTATTTTTGTTTGTTTGTTTGTTCAATACGGTATTATAGGTAGTAAGGAAGGATATCAATCGGAAGGTAAAGTAGTTAATCGCTCGTTCATTAGGAAAGTAATATGAATAAAGGAAATGGCTGAATGTGAAGAAAGTACGAGCGATGTTTCACAAATAAAGCATTTTAAGCTCTGGAAATAGTTAATATGTGAACTCGTATATCAACCGTATTTTATTTATAGACATGACATGGGAAGATATTTTTTTTTTTTTTTTTTTTTTCTATGATATTCATACTCCTAAAACTGAGAGCAAAGAGCAAGAGAAATTACAGCGTCACATGTATAATTATAATGTGTTTAAAATTATGATATGTTTAAAATGAATAATATAAACATGTAAACTTGAACTACATCATATACAGTAAAATGATGAAATGTATATCTAAATTAGAGCTAAGTAGTACTTTATATATAATAAAATTCAAGAGAAGTTGCCCCATCATAAGAGGCATCTCGTATTAAAAACAAATCATAATTAGTGATGTTTGTTATATATCCTGTGAGTTTGCATTCTGCCTTATACTCATTCAATGGAGCCAGATAATTAGTAAATCATAATTAGGCCTCAGATCATGACCATTTTTCCGCAAAAGTTTACATGTATAGCTGAGTAAGACAAGTTAAGACTGGCAACTCTATCCACAAGCGAATATATACAGTAACTCGCTGCACTAAACAGGCACATGCACTGTTTGGTCTATATTAGTGGTTCTTAACCTTTTTAGTTATGGATCCCTTTAAAAATCTGATGGCAGCTATGGATCCCAGATATATTCACATTAACATAAGTTTGTATACAATGTGTATAAGTACGTTACTTATTAAGATTTGATTGTCCTACATATATTTGAGTATTTAAGTATTATTAAACTTCAAAGTAAACAATTTAGAAAGAAACACCTTTTTTTTGCAAAAGTAATGTTACTATTTTTTCTGATCCCCACGGACCTCTTGAAAC